ATGGAGATCCACCTCAGGGTTTCTGGCCAATTTCTCGGGACCTTTCGAGCTGAAGGCGTCCACCAGAACGCAGTGTACGGCGCCACCGGAAAGAATGCAGTAGACAGGCGTGGCCATTAAAAAAGAAGAACTGGTTGGTTTTTGGAAAATATGAATGTGGTTCAACTACTGAGAAAATCGTGCGTCTGGCAGGTGCAGAACCACCGCACAAGCCTTGTCTGAAGAAGGTGGGGGGGGGGGGTTATGCTTGAAGGGGACTGTTTTTGAGATCTTTGGTGATTTGTTGAAATGGTATATCTCAGGTTGTTTTGGTTTCTTGAATTTGACGTGGAAATCAGGGATGGGTGGTTCAGCCGCACCTGATAAGAATGGGTGCAAAACATGTGAAGGGTTCAACAATGAGTGTGTCGTGTAGGAAACCGGGTACGGTCTTGTGCCTGATAGAGGAATTACGCTGAGCTTTATTAGGGCCGTTTGCGCCGGTGGGTTTATACTTGATGGTGCTCAAACGGCACCAAATCTAGTATTGAATATATAGACGGTTAGTAGCCACGGCTGGGGTCGCTTTAGCGCATGGATGGTCGGCCTTCTTCTTTGACCAGACGACCAGCGAAGGAAGCAGCACAAAGAGCATACTTTCGATAAGAAAGACGACTTCATCTGCTCATGGTGCCTGTATTATGGTGGCTTTTGACCACGCGCTGCCCGACTAGAGTTGCTAACCACCGTCCCACTAAGCCGCCATACATCAGGGCATCGAATGAGGGAAATGTGCCCAAGCCTCAACCACCAACACGTAGTGATTGTAGGAGTTGATAGTAATTTGTGGGAGTTGATAGTGATTTGAGCAGATGAAGGGGTCGTTTGGAGCCTGTTTAGACTCTGGTGCGCTTCACCTTCTTACTCGTTCAACGGAATAGACTAGACCCCTAAACAGGGCTGTAACCGTGCTCTTCGGCCTCCTCCTCAACAATCACCCTAGGCTCGAAGCTCCGCTCGTGACTGAGGGCTGGGAAGAGACGCAAGTACAGCCACACAGCGATCAAAATACCAAGAAGCAGGCCCACCGTGATGTCGATGAAATGGTGTCTGTAGTCCTCCGTTCTGCTCAAGGCAATGAGCGCCGCTCCAATGGTAGGGGTGGCAACGATGGCCCATCTCCAGAAGCCCAGGTACGGCCTTGTCACTGCAAGCTGGCCTGCAAGCCAAAGACTAGTGAAGAGAAGACCAGCAAACGAGATACTCGAGTGGCCAGAAGGCGTAGTTCTGAACCCGTCCAAAAGACGGTCAATGTTCTCGGTGGTGCACACGTCCTTGGCCAAGACAAGCACGCCCTTGGGAGTATCAGGCTTAGGCTCACAGCGAGCCAAGAAGTCGGGTCTGTGTCTGCCAAAAGCGTTCTTCAAAAGATCCGTGATGATGCTGGCGCTGAACACAGAAAGCAACAAACCAAGAAGCGACACGTACGTGACGTACACCTTGTGCTGAGGTTTGGTGATGATGGCAGAAACCACACCGATAACGGCCACAGGCACCACCAGGGCGTAGAAGAAAAGCTCACCTGCAGTGACTCTTTCGTGTTCAGCAAAAGGGTGAGAAATGGTCAAATCGTCGACGTAAAATTGCCTTTGAAACGGCTCAATTTGGTACACTATAGGGTACAACACGAAAAGCAACACCAACGCTATCAAGTCGGACCCTCTCCAGCGAAGGAAAAACGGACCTCCGCGGATTCTGTCGATCCCGAGGGTCGTTCTATTTATGGTGTCGTCCTTGTGGAAGTAGTTGATGAAATTGTAGACTCTGTCCATTGGAAGAAGAGGAGTATTGAGGTTATCGCATTCCAGGCAGTACTGTTGGTCCTAGGATGGCACGGCGTGTGTACGGCGATGTGACGGTCTGGGCCCTAGTTTTCGGATTTTTTTGGGAGTTTTGTTTTTTGGGGTTTTAGAAAAAAGTGATTATAATCATTTTTTGCAATAACGAAGGAAAAGGTTCTCTGTTTGGTTGGTGTCTTGGACCATGTGCCCTAGGAGCCACACCTAGGCACACTAAGGCACATATATATGCAGATGGATGGATGTGAATTGATTCAAGGCTTGATTAGTATTACTGAACTGGTGCTACAGTGTGCTTCGTAAATAATTGCATTCTTTTGACTAAAAATCCTCTAAAAGGAATAGGAGGAATCTCGAGAACAATAGTGACTTTACAGTAGCAAGGTGTATGAGCCCATGGCTGCAATATCTGTAATGTCAACTACGACATAATAGGAATGAAGACCCAACGGTCGCTTCCTTTTATTATACGCTAGACGTTAGAATCCCGTTTTGATTATCGTTTTGACAGGTCTCGGCTCTTCAAAAACAATATAAGCTTAAGGACCTATACCAGCTATCATGCAAACGGACTTCTTCAATTGATGTAATTTTGGACGAAATCAATTCTATATCATGAATCGTCTTCGATATCATCCATAATGGCATGATAAAATCCATCTAAAATCTACAAGCCTTCTTACTAGCCTCTCGGTCACTCCACGAGGTCATGCTGCACAAGTCTGCATCAATATGGCCGTCGAAAGTCGATATCAACTACCAATGTCTCAAAAACAAAAACTTACCAAAAATCCGTAATCCTTCAATTCCCCAAATAACCCTATCCCAGTGGGTGTACCTTATCTGTCGATCGGACCCTTGAAGGCGTGTTTTCGCAGCCACTTCCGAACCCATCCGAGACATACACCAGCTCCACGAAACATTTGCAAATTCTGATACCATAAACTTTTTCCTTCCCATACGTCTCAGGGAAAATACCTTAAAAACCGTGAAATTCCCTCCCAAACAGCCTCTAAATCATCACCCTGGGATATCCGTTTAGCACCGGGCCTGCACATGTGCAACCTACCACAGAACACATTCTTGGATCTCCACCTCCAACTACTTCTACAATGAACTCCAAATTTGGATCAGACGATCTATTTGAAAACGGCTGGGCTTCTTCCGAGCCTGCACGCCAGGACCACGGCTTCGCCTCCACCGCTTACCTGGGCTCCACATACTTAACTTCCTCTCAGTTGCTTGGTCAAAACCCGTCTGCTTCTTCAGAGATTGACTTGTCCGATAAGGTTCCTGACTCGTATAAGCAGATCTGGGAACGCTTGCTGTCGAAATTGAGGTCGGTGACGGACTTGGAGTCGGAAGTCTTCCTTCCCTTGGTGGACCACCAGCACCTTTCCGATTACCAGAGTTCCCGAATCATAGATGTTTTGTACGAACACACCTTGTTGCCACCGTCAAGGGAGCTGAATTTCTACCAGGTGTTGGGACTTATTGCCTTGGAATTGGACCTCGCAGGCACGGGTGATTACGTGACCCTCCAGTTCAAGCTCAACTCGGGTCTTCCAGACTTCCCTCGTGAAGTGACCGATTTGCTTCTCGGTAAGGTCGAGTCTCTGGGAGTTGGACATTCCACGCTGCATCCGGCCGAAACCGACCCCTTGACGGCCAACTTGGCTTCTACTTCCCTCGAAGAACAGGACGATTGGAACGACCCAAACACAGAAAACATGCTTGCAGATCACCTGAACATCCTGATCGATGCAGACACAACGGCACCAGAGGTGTCTCATGTGAACGACTTCCCCTACATCACAAAGTATGTCACCGATCTCAGAGAAAAGTTCAAGCCGTTGATTGCTGGTGGCGACAGTGTCAACATCAAGGAGGTGCCAGAAAAAGAAGGCCTCGTCTTCAAACACATTAACTACTGCATTACTCACAGCCTAAAACTCGGCATGCATAGCCCAGCGGGCCAGAAGAAGGTCATCAGACGATACTCTGATTTTGCCTGGCTTCTCGAGTTCCTTTTGAAAAAGTACCCCTTCCGTGTTATCCCCGGGCTTCCCCCCAAAAAGTTCACCGGTATGTAAATTCCGTGGTCTTGTTATCACCACTTACTAACCATTCTAGTAGGCGCCTCACCCGATTCTCAATTCTTGCAAAGAAGGCGCCGCGGTTTGCATCGTTTCCTCAACCAGCTTGTCAAGCATCCAGTTTTGGTTCAGGAGCCTATTGTAGTCACCTTCCTTAGTGTTCCAACAGACCTTGCTTCCTGGAGAAAGCAGGCCCGTGTGGACTATTCCCTCGAGTTCAAGGGACAGAAAATCGAGACAGAGTTTGTGAATTCTATCTGGCCTACAATCAGCGAGGAATTCCTCACTAGCTGGAAGACCGCCGAGGCTAACATTCCTCGTTTGATTGAAACGTGGACCAAGCTAGTATTGCTCGTCGAGAGATATGAAAAGAGACAACAACAGATTGCATTCGATAATGGCAAATTCGTGGAGATGATTAATCGCTTTACCGAGCTCGACAATGTCATCTATCCTCACAGAAATCCTGAAGAGAAGGTGCTCAACTCTCTTAACCAGGACGACACTACCACGATCAACGATTCGTTGGGCACCATTTCTGCATTCTTCAACAAGTCTTCTACATTGCTCATTGATGAAAGTTATCTTATCAACACGACGGTGTTGGAGAAGTTTAAGAACTTCTTGGACTACTTGTATTCCTTGCAGGAGCTATTTGACAGAGCCAAGAAACAGTCCGTGAACTCGATTCCACAGCTTCAGAAGAAAATCGAGGACAGTCAAGCCAAATTTGACAGACTCAATGAAAGCGGCACTGATATGAAGGGAAGTGACATTGCCAAGCTCAAGCAAGCCATAATTAACGACAAACAGGAGATGTTCCAACAGCTCAACAAGGATTGGCTCATCAAGAGCTGTTGCTTCCATGAATTTGCCATGTTCCAGGAAACGCAATTCCTCATCTCCGAAGCTTGGGCAGATTGGTGTAAGGGACGCGCCAAGTTCCAAGACAAGTTTTCGACTCTTTACGACCGTTTGAGCCAGGACGTTGTGCCAGACATGCCTTTGGGTCATTAGGAATGCACAAAAGCTTCCCATTTTTCTACAAGGGAATGGGAAGTTTGATTTAGCGAGTCATCAAAATGGTCTTTGCTGAGGACCGATGCAACATTGAGCTCCTTCTTGGCTTGGTCAAACTCAGGTTTACCATATAGAAGAGCAAGGACGCGACCTACTCGGCTTCCCAAGGCAGCGCCGTATGGAAAACCTTCATCGAAGCCCTTCTGCAATCCCTCCTCTTGTGCCTGAGTGATTCCGTCTATGTAACCTTGGGTCACATGAGCTCTTTGCAAATCAGCGTAAGTATCGATGTCGTCGTCGCTACCCCAGATGTGGTCGTCATCATCAGTGGCATGCAGCGGCTTCTTCAGCTTCAACTTTTTGGGTACTTTGCATTCGCCTGTGCAAGACATGTAGAAGAGTTGGGAGATGGGATTATTGATTAGGGCGTGATGTACAGGACAAAGGAAAGACGAACACAGAATACGGGGGACATGAAGACCCTATGGTCGAGATTTATCGAGAAAGTTAAGGAAGTGGGTTTTAGCCAATGGAGACGAGTTTTCTCCGGAACATTTTTTTTTCGGAATGTCATCAGATGAGTCTCGGAGCCTGTGTTGGGGAGCCGATCTAGGCAACACCCGTACACCTAAGGGACCGCCAGCAATGATGACTGTCAGCAATGGAACATTTCTTAAAAATGGTCAATTCACAGAAATTCAATTTCAGATTGATTCACAAACGTCTCGCTAGACCAGGCTCCCCCATAGCGGCTCTCAATTGGGCGGTGCGACGAACGTCTACGGACTGCACACAGTGCCGTAGCTGGCGCCTTTCGAAAGTGAGATTACTTCTAACAATCTTGCTCATACTGCTCACTATCAACACCTAATTGACCATACCACAATATATCCGTCGGGAAGGTATCATATAACGAAACCTTCAATCCACATCCTTTGACAATCGTTTCCGACGTCATAACACAACGGTGCTGGGAACCTTGTGTTCGTGTTCTCCCATTTTTTTCCTTTCCGCATTTGTGACTCTTGCCTAGAGAACAGGTCGCCAATTCATTTCATAATTAAGTCTAATATAAAGCCATGGCAGATAATATAATTACCCAGGTCTCTCAGGACTCAGGACCGGTGCCCATGGTTGACGAGACCAATGGCAACATTGACTACAACTCCAAGATCCACCTCAACATTCGCGGGAAGCCCTTTGAAATTACTCGTGATGAGCTTATGAGTTTACCCGAGAGCATATTATTGAGTCTTTTCCCCAATGGCGTTTTCTTAGACGTCAACGGTCAAGTTATCACGAATTTGACGGAAGAGGACGTGGTTTTCGTTAACTTCGATCCGGACTGCTTTGAATACATTTTCAACGTGTTTGGCGAAGCCCAACGTAATCTCCAAGAAGGTACGTTGTCACCGCAAGTGTCTGGCTCCAGCCGACTTGATTCTGCTGCGTCTATTTTGCAAACGAAGCCTGCTATCATTGTTTTGCGGGAAGATCTAGATTTTTATGTAATTCCGCCTGTGGCGGGTTGCACGACAGCAGACTTTGCATTTCTCAAGGTTAAGGTTGGTGACAGCATTTTATTGAATACTTCCGTGTTTTCCGGTCTAGGATACAACCCCGAGTTACCTGCCTCGGTAAACCAAACGCTCGGCCCTGCTGAGCAGCATTTATTCGAAATGTTATGTTCCTCAGGTTTCGACAGAACAGAGCTTTGGGGAAGCCGCTCAATGGAGCCTCACAAGTGTGTGCTTTCATCGTTGCTGTTGGTGCGTCTTGTAACGCAACCACCCACTCCTCCACAGCTGCCTCTGTTGCAGCCCGTTCAATCCAATGCATCTGGACGTTCTAGATCAAGGTCTCGAATCGCCACGTTGGCATCAAGTGCGAGCAGAGCTGCTTCTCGCTCCTTATCTCGAGCAAGAAAGAATAATGACACAAACTACACGAAACTATTGTTGTTCTGGAGAAAGCCCGCAAGAAAGTGTTGGTGGGCTAACAACGAGGTTACCGTGTCTACAGAAGGAAGCGAAACGCTCGCCAAACTAGGGCCGGAAGTTAAAGTGAAGGTGCACACTCGACGCGTGTGGACGTTGGAGCTTTCGGTTGTGGGTGTTCAGTAAATTCGATTTATGGGATACCCAGCCTAGCTCAAGGCATCAATGGCATGGCGAGGCAAACTAATAAGATTTCGAGCAGTGGCCTTCGCAAACTAACCAATTCTTTATTCAACAGCTACATATTTTGATCCAACCGGTTCTTCTAATGCGGTGGCCTCAGACCACCATCAATACAGATTTAATTCTACATAGTACGCAATTCGTAAACATTGTTGAGTCAAGTTGTAGTGGCATTGAACTTGGTTGCAAGAGTTCACAACGACGGTAACTAACAGTATTTGAATATCTAGTTGGAAGATGTTCTAAGACAGTGTGAAGTCATTGATCAATAATGGTATAGAACATCAATGAAATTTAATACCAAATTGAAGAAAGAGTCATATATGAATCACCTCGTCAAGACACTTCATCCTAGTGCTCACTACAATACCTTCTCTGTCTTACCAGATTGCTCCATGAATTCCATCTAAAATAGGGCATCAAAAAAACTAAATCAAATCCCAATAATTCAAATCCATCCAACATTTAAACAAAAACAAAAAAAATAATTTCTCACCAAAAGCACATAAAAACTTCACCCAGGCATTTTTCATCACCTACCCATTTGCAACCGCGAAAACGCGTACATCAACTCTTCATCATGGCTACTTACGAAGAAGAACGAATTGGCCACACGCCGTGGGTTGAAAAATATAGACCCAAAAAACTCGATGACGTGGCTTCCCAAGGCCATGCCGTGAAAGTTCTCAAGAAAACCTTGGAACTGGCTAATCTCCCACATATGCTTTTCTATGGACCTCCAGGTACTGGTAAAACGTCCACGGTGTTGGCGTTGGCCAAGCAGTTATACGGGCCTAGATTGTACAAACTGCGTGTTTTGGAGCTCAATGCTTCGGACGAAAGAGGTATTCTGATTGTCAGACAGAAGATCAAGAACTTTGCTCGGTTGACGGTGTCGAACCCTACTTCTGAGGATTTGAGAGACTACCCGTGTCCACCTTATAAGATCATTATCTTGGATGAGGCGGATTCCATGACCAACGATGCCCAGTCGGCTTTGAGACGTACGATGGAGAACTACTCGCTGGTGACCCGTTTCTGTCTTATCTGTAACTACATCACCAGGATCATCGATCCATTGGCTTCGAGATGTTCCAAGTTCAGATTCCGTTCTTTGGACAACGAGAACGCCTTGCTGCGTTTGCAGTATGTGGTCGAGGCGGAGAATGTACCTCTCAGTGGTAACGATGTGCTTGAGGAGATCATCAAGGTATCTGGAGGTGATTTGCGTAAGGCCATTACTTACCTACAACTGGCAGCGCGTCTTTCGGTGTCTTTGGATAACAGTGAGCCTATCACAGCGGGCAGAATCAGAGAAATCGCCGGTGTCATTGATGAGGCGCTCATCGACAAGATTCTTAATACGCTCCGTAGCAAAGATAACAAAGCCATTGCGGCGCAGGTTGAGGAGGTCGTTCTCGAGGGCTGGAGTGCTCAGCAGGTTGCCGATCAGCTTCACGACCGTTTGATCACGGACGACGGCTTATCGTCACAGGAGAAGAACAGCATAGCTCGTATTTTGTTCGAGTCAGACAGGCGTTTGAACCACGGCACCGACGAGCACATACAGCTTTTGAATTTGGCGCTACAAATAAGCCAGGCTTTGCAGTAATGTGGGGTGTCATAGATATGGAGAGACACGAGGGTTGCATCAATGCAGCCAAAAATAATCACGATTCACAAGATCTTCTGTAGTGTAGGTTTCTACGTTCCATTTCGAGTGGATCCTCAATTGCTATATACTTGCATGCTACAGCTGTAGCTCTGATACCACTACTGTTTGGGTTGCTGTAGTTGTTGATGTTGCTGCTGCTGTTGCTGCTGCTGTTGATGTTGCTGTTGTGCTTGAGGTTGTTGATGTTGTTGCTGTGGAGGCATTCCAGGACCACCGGGACCCATTCCGGGAGGGAACCCGTAGAAACCAGGAGGTGGCATCTGACCGCGTGGCATGCCCTGTTGGTTGGGCTGTCCATCCTGTGGAGGTCTACCTTGCATTGGGAATCCTGGAGGTGGAGGTCCCATTCCTGGAGGGAACATGCCAGGAGGTGGAGGACCTTGGAATTGGTACATTTGCTGTGGTCCTCTCTGGAAGCCTGGTGGAGGACCCATGCCTTGAGCCATCCAAGGAGGAATGCCATGAGGCAAGTTATGAGGACCTGGAGGTCCTTGCTGGCCTTGGCGAGGACGGCTAGCATCTGGCTTTGCATCTGGTTTGGCGCCTTGCTGCTGGTCAGAGCCCTTATCCTGGTCTCGCTTGTTCAACAACGAAAGGAAGAAGGAGTCTTGCGCTTTGCTATCACCGCCTAAGTTAGGAGGCGTGAGGCCTGGCGGACCGGCCATTGGCATCCCCTGGCCAGCCATTGGGGAAGGCACTTGTGGAACTTGGCTCTGGCGAGCCACTGGTTCCTGCTTTGGAGTAGCATGCTGTTGAGCAGGAGACCCTTGGGCCAAGCCAAAGAATCGCAGGCCGGCGGAAGGATCAGGCTTACCGGCTGGGTTTCTTGCAAGGCCGGGAGGTGGGCCTGAACGCTTTGGTGATTCTTGGGGGCCTGGACCGCCAAAGAAGGACGAGAAACGTGAGCTCTTGCCGGAATCCGAGCCTGGGGTGGAGGTCTCAGGGGCCGAGCTTCCGGTCTTGGGGTTGACAAAGGAGAAGAAGTTGTCGACCTCGTTTCCCTTTGGAGCCTCAGGCTCAGTGGGCGTCTCGTCAACATACTGTTTACGGTCATTCTCGTGCATGCGTTGCTTCCAGCGCTCAAAGTCCTCGACTGTGGAGCCCATGTCCATTTGCAAGTCGGAGGCGCCTGGGTTATCCCACTCGGGGGTCCCTTCTTCGGGGTTTTCACCCAACAATTGTGAAATCTTCTCGGCGGACATTCTATCAAGCTTGGAGCTCTCCGCGAACCCTGTGGGTTTCCGCTCCCATTTGCCGTCGTTCAGATTCTGGTTTCTGCGGTTGTTCCTACGAGACGTGCCGCTCTTTTCGTTTGTTTTCTGGTTGCGGACAGGCTTAATCACCCAGAAGGCCTGGTCGGGAAGAACCAGGGTATCGAAGGCCGCCACCTCAGGTGTCGAGCGCAAAACAAGCAATTCCTCAATCGAGTACACGTTGGCCTTCAGCGAAGGCACGGGCTTGAAGTCCAGTAAGGATTCACGCCGAGGCAGCGCTATCAGACTAGGTGACCTGGCTGTTTCTGGTTCCGGTGTCAGCTCTTTGGCAGCATTAGCCATGGCACTATCAAGGAGTTTTGAAAGAGCACTGCCCGGTTCTAGGCCATTGGAGTAGCTGGTTCCTCGGGACACCAGGGGTTTATCTTGGGTCCTGGGTGTTCTGGAGCTCGATCTGGACAGATCCATCAGGATGATGGAGGAGTCAATGATGGCCGGGTCGTGCGGGGTGGACATGGCCTTGTATTTATAGGAAATTGGGTGGTGCAGGTGGGTGGGAACGAAAGAAGGAGGAGGTGTGGTGGTAAAATGTATGCTGGAGAGATGGCACTGAGGATCCTGGGATGTTCAGTTTGGGTCGTGCGATGATCAGCCCAGGGAGTGTGCTAGTCTATGCTTTGGGAAGAGGGGGGATATTTTTGTGGTGGAATTGATGATTTTGAAGGATTCTTCGTAATTTTGATTTTGTCTTCGTTTGGGCTAGTTGGGTGGTTCGGAGTGTGTTCTTCCGTATAGTGCTGCGAATGAGTCAAGGTGGTCAGGGTGACTGTGGATCTAGATTTTGAGATGGAGAAGTTAAACAGAGGTCAATTTATGTGATACGGAGAGGATGAGATATTTCAAAGTCAATTGATGATTTTGAACTGATTGATGGTTTTGGTGATTCAGTGTAACACACTGGGGTGTATGTTAATGGCTGCAACTATGCTGTAGCCAGTGTACACGATCTGCACTAGCTCCAGGACCACTAGTCAATACCTGCCAAAACCTGGGGATCGCAATCCAAATATCTTGGCTTTTTCAGGAATAACTTTAAAGTGTTTTTGAAGAATTGGAGGATTGGAGGAACAAAAAGGCTGACATAAAATTTCTTTATTCTCCGTGTATTCGTATAGATGCATGTGGAAGGGTGTCTCTCTGTGGTGGGTGTTTCTTTCAATACCGTCAATGAAACGTCTTGATGATCTACAATCTTCGGAAAATCTTCTATAGCTAAAATTGGGCTGCTATTGGGGGAAGCCGAAATCGCTTTAAGCCTAAAATGAATTTGTAATGGTCCATGAGTCAAATGATATTTCGTCTATGTATTTTTCTTTTTTTTTTTTTTTTTTTTTTTTTTCAAGAATAAAAATCTAGAAGAATCAGAGAATGATAAACATTGGGATAACGGAGAATTTGTCTCAGCCAAATAAATAGAGCCGATCTTCGACTCACGAGCTAAATACCGCAACCAAATTGAGGTAATAGTTGCCTCCAATTAGGTGCATGAGACACCCGTTTGGCACTGTAATTTGGCTTGGTTTGGAAAGCCCCATCTCACCCTGGTAGTATACAGAAGCGGTATTCGGTCCATCCACTGAAACTTGAATAGTGGGTTCTGGATTTCATTGGGTTGTGGAGGATTTCAAGGGTGGTGGCTGCGAAAAGTTATGGTGGAGGAGGTCTAGAAGTGTGGGATGGAGGAATGATGCCGATACGGTAAACCACCTTTTATGAGTAAATGTATTCCATCTCCAATTTTCTTACCTCAATTAAGTCTTAACATCTTCTTCGATCGCATTCAGTTCAACTGTGTACTTTTCTAGCAAAGGAGACACCCCATTGACTACCCAAACACCTCCTCTCTTGATGAAAATCTAATAGAAAAGTAAGCAAAATGAAGTGGCCCCAATACATTATCCATTATTTAAAGAAACTTCTCCTACTATTAATCAAACCTCACCTCACTGTGTACTTACCTCTATGGCAATGTAGACATCTCAGTGACCCATACGCAGCCATCCAACAAGTTCCTCGACAATCTCTCTCGACAACTCTCACCCAAAAATACATACCTACTTCTAGAAACCAGGGTCACTCCCGATCTCCCTCCACAATGCCATTGATGCACCCGCACAATGGCCTCCACCGCTTATCTCACCACGATCATTCCACACCGATACATGCAAATCTACAACTCTTTAGAAAAAACTTTTAATTCCGTACGTAACCGGGCCGCTTAGTAGGCGCCCTTGATAGCAGACATCACAGCTCCGGCAGCGCCAGCGCTGTCCTTGGTAGTAGCAGCAGCATCAGTGCCGTAGTTGTCACCACCGTATCCACCAGCACTGGTTGGAGCAGTGGAGGCGGTGGCAGTACCAGTGACTGGGTTGGTGCCGGTGGCAGTGGCGGTGCCAGCACCAGAGGTTGGGTGGAGCTTCTTGCTCAAGAAACCAGCAGCGTACTTCTTGAGGAGGTTGAAGATCTTGGAGATGAACTGCTTCTGGCCGTCAGAAAGCTCGAATCTCTTGTGCAAGTCGTCCTCAGAGGCGCCGTTCATCAACTCACGAACCACCATCTCGACGGTGGCCTCGTTGAAAAAGTCCATTTCTCTCTTGGAGAGCACAAGACCGCCCGAGTTCATCTCATCGACTGGGGCAGCACCAACGAGGGTGGAGGAGGTCAAGAAGGCGAGGGTAGCGACAGAAGCGAATTTCATTGGGTATCGAGGAAGAAAGGATGTAGAAGATGATGAGAAAGGGAAACTGGGAGGGATTTGGCCCACCCTTATATACTTTTCCCCCGGTGCCTGGCAGCCAGGCTGAGGAGGTGTATGGCTGCAAATTGGGTGCTGCGACCCCAGATGTCATTTACCCAACTGGGTAATTCGCAACCCTGCCAAATCCTGCCCCGGCTTTTGACAGGCGTCCGCATGCATATTCTCACCAACCCCAGTTACTCCTCTGGGTAACCCTACAATGGGACTCCAACGCCCGAGGGGCTTCCACGTCACGGGGAGCTGCAAATCACCGTCCGATCTGGAATGTGTCAAATGGCACCGTTTCTAGAATCCAACGGTGGGGGGTCCCTTTGATGTTGATGGTTTTGCAGTAATTCAAACTGTTCATGCAATTTTTGTAAAGCAGACTTTGTGAAGCACGGCTGATCAAATCGTCGGCATGCACCCCAGACCCGAACCTTGCGGTGAACCTTGCGGTGGGCGTTTTGGGTGCAAATTATGGCGTAAGGGGGGAAGCTTCGGTAGTGCATTCATTTTTGGCTCGAACAGCTACAATGCGTCTCGGCTGTGTCGAATCTCACCAATATCGAGGAACCTCACATGTCATGTGCCGTTTCTCCCTGAACGGGCTATGAAGATCTGGGGCTGAGATCTCATTGTGGATCGGTATTTTTCTTTTTGGTTGCTCATCGAAACTTGTTTTGGGTGCCTGTTGTGGTATACGGCCTTTTTCCCGTTTCATGTGGTGTGAGCTATGTGGGTTGCAAGGGACAAGTTGCCGTGTTTACCATTTAGGCTGGCGTGCTGAAAAGAAGCACTTTTGTTCGCTGCCTTTTCTGGAACCGTACCTGGGGCTCAGCGGGAATAGCCCTGGCACTTTCCCGAGAGGCCCGATAGGGCTGTTGCAAGGGAGTATGGAGCCTTTGTAGAGTGTACTTTTTGAAGTGACAGTAGGCAGAAGGGGAGGTAAATAAAAAAACAAAAAAAGGAAAATTCTAGAATAAAAGAAATGATCATCGATACAGTAATAAAGGGCTGATTTGGTGTGTGCTTTCGTTGGCCTAAATGTTCTCAAACATCAACAAAGGAAGGGCGCCGCCAACTACCCGTAGGCGACAAAAACTGCGTTTTCTGGTTTCGGGAATTTTTTACAAAAACACCTCTTCTTCCTGAAACGGTGAAGAAGGGAAAACCCCCGGTCCCCATTCCGTACCGAAGCATTCGAAATGGCAGAAAACAGCAAAGACAGAGGAAGCCACCAAATTAATTTCTACAAGGTCACTTAACAAAATGCAATTGAAACGAACTAACTTTTCCTAAACTACGCCGACCTTGGCATGGTTGGTGCCCTTGTGGACGGGAGCGTGGGTATCAGCAATGTGGTGCTTTCCGTCCTGGGCATGAGCATGGGCTCCAGCAGAAGCGTATCCGCCCAGACCAAAGTCGCCGCCAAAGTCGCCGCCAAAGTCCGGCATGTCCCCGTTACCTGGGTTCGAGTTGCCTGGACCAGAGTTGTTTGGGTCTGAGTTACCTGGACCAGAGTTGCCTGGGTCAGAGTTGCCTGGAGCGTTACCGCCAGTAGGAGCTGGGAAAGAGCCGCCGCTGGTAGGGTTGGCGCCTGGGTAGGTCCAGTCAGAAGGAGCAGCGTCGGTAGGGTTGGAGTTACCTGGAGAAGTGGCAGTTGGGGCGTTAGAAGCACCACCGTTGCCGCCAGAAGTGGCGGTTTGAGGAAGCGAGGTTGGAGCGTTTCCACCGGAAGTTGGAGCGTTTCCACCGGAAGTTGGGGAAGAACCACCGCTGGAAGTGTTGTTGGATGGAGGAGAGTGGCCTCCACCGCTGTTCTGGGACTGAGCAAGAGAGATCTCCTGGTTGTCGAGGTCATAGTACACGTAGGCGTTTCTCAAGAAAGCGTCACCCAAAATGTACCTGTCCTGGTAGTCGGTGAATCCCAACATGCACTTGTTCTCCTCGAACTTCATGATGACGTCCTGGTAGGAGGCTCTGATCTTGTTCTTGCCAAAGTCAAACTCGATGAACTTGTCGGTGGGCTGCTGGCAGTCCACGTAACGTTCCACAAGGCCGTTGGAAGGCGTCACCTTGTTGGGCTTGAAAATTTCATCAAAGTGGTTCATCACCTCGGTGGGCAAGATACCACCAGTGGTACCGGAATCCAAAAGCACTGGGGCGCCGACGTTGATGCTCTTGCCGTCAATGTTCATGTTGTTCAAGGTGATGGCCAACCCGTTGGCACTCTTGTCCACAGGGTAGGTGGTCAAGTCACCCTGGTACTTGGAGGAGTCCTTTCCACCAAACAAGATGGTACCCTGGCTCTGGTCGCCACCGCTGTTGATCCACAAGGAGTAGGAAGCCAGCTCGATGACTCCTTGCTTCTTCAATGCCCATGGAAGGTTGTCGTACTCGGATCCTCCGCTGTTCAACGAAGCCTCCTGGTTCTTGTCGGCAATACCCAAGATACCGTATCCGTTGTCGTTGGACAGCGAGACAACACCAAACTGGAAGTCCTTGAGAAGGTTTTCGCCGTTGAAGCCGAACGAGTCGGTGTAGTAGTCACCGTTGGAAGAAGTCTGATCCAAGTACGAAATCTCGAACTTCTGGCCGGTGTTCTTGCCCAGCGACGAGTCGTAGTGGCCACCTTCACCAGATCCAGACTGACCCCACACCCAGAGGTCCGACGATCCAGTGTCCAAGGAAACAGTGCACTTGGAGTTACCCACGTTGACGTCAATGTGGTAGATGACATCCTGGTAGTTGGTGATGGTCACCTCCTTGTCTCTTTTGAAGTGACGTTTCTCGATGCCTTCGACCATCTTTGGCCAGAAGTCACTGGAAGCGTGGTCTCTTCTGGTGATGTCAAAGTTCAACGAGACAGCGGTGGCCTCGACACCAGAAGAAGACGATTTGGTGTCGGCCTTTTGAGACTCGCCCTTGTTGGGGATGTACAAGGCGTGAGTGAGCGAACAAGCGAGGGAAAGGAGAGTAAGGAATGAAAGCATTGGTGTTGAGCTGGCAAGAGTGGGATCCGGCGGTGTATTTATATGTTTTCCGTGCCAGAGGGTCTTCTGGGGCTTTGGCTGCGAAAAATACAGAAAAAAGAAAAACACTGGGGCCAATCTGCTGCGGCTGCAGGTGGGGCCGTGCGTCCCCGAGTTTGACAAATAAACCGCCTTATTCTAGACGCTCGGGTTTCGCCTTTGTCCAGAATGCCGTTGTCTGGTGCAGCCAGTGTACGTAGCTTTCCACAACCTGGGGTAGGTTCCTGGTACCTGGTTCCTGGGACGCGGTGCGTGGCTTTGACGTGCGATACAGGACTTGTTGGGGCAGTGCAGTTCTAGATGGTACCTTAGAGTAGCCAATACGGTGCTGCCCAAAGTTTGAAAAAGGTATTCCATGACAGCTGCATCTTAACGTCACATAGCAAAGATAAACAGATCGTCCGGACTTTTCCAAAGCGGTGGTGTCAGCGTAGTATGGGCGAGCGTACCTTACGTCATTCTGGTTCGCTACGCCCATCGCATTCTCAACGTCCTATTGTGCATTGCATCATTTCCCGCTGCGACAGCCACTTTGGGCGCAATTGAGTCCAGATCGGTTACCGACTGCTCAAGTATGGAAGATTCAACTTTTCGATCTCGCGGCACATCATGAACCAGTCGATCTTGCGGAGAACGGCTCCTTTCTCCTTCTGTGCGTCTCCTTCTTCTTCCCACTTGAACAACTCGTACATGAACCGTAGATTGGGCTGGATCACAATATTCAACCTCCTCACTCGAACATACAAGTAGGCTTGAGCTAAGCTGAGCTGGAGCCGCCTCATCACCTCGGCTATCACCACCGTGGCTGATCTGGAAACTCCAACTCGGCAATGTACCAAGATCTTCGTATCTCCATGGCTTCGTTTGAACTCCTCGTCGATGGCTTTGAGCATCGACGGAAGGGCGTTGCTGAGTTCATCAATTCCATCGTCTTGCAAATTGTTCACTTTCATCACCAGCTGCACAGAACATTGTACTTTGCTGCGATGTAGGCTCTCCTCCTTGGGTTTGATCGTATACTGCTCGATGTTTCCATTGTCAAGCTCATCGATGATGATGTCATTATTGTGTTGGAATTTGTGACCGTGGAGCCAGTCGAGGTTCTCCCCGACGCTGATCACACACTTGATTCCCAATCGAGACAAGAGCGCCAAACTGTTGGCATGCTTAAGCGACCCCAAATAGAGGTAAGGGAGAATTCTCGAGGGAAACGACCCCTCAACGTCTTCTACCCAGTCCTTGTCGAGGTATGACAGGGTATCGCTAAGCTCCTCCTCGTCCTCGGTGTCGGACGAGTCCGTGTCCGAGTCGTTTCGGATATAGCCTAACCGGAATTTCGATGGAATGTGTTTCACTCTCTGAGGTTTGATGGGACCTAGAAGCACCTCGTTGAGCTCCTTGCTAGTAATGACCTCTGGCTCGTTCCACTCCACCTTTTTCGAAGGATTATTTGGGCTGAACTTGCGCATCAAGACCTCGAGTTTACGCAAAATCACAACATCGCTGCTGAAGATGTAGAACGGCCTTCCGTACGTCAAATGTACCTTAATCATTGCGTCATTTAGCGACAAATTCTCGGCATACATGATATAGCAGAAGATGAGTAGCGACAGCTCAGTGTATCCATCTGAGCAATAAATAAGGGAAGCAAGGCTCCCGGGTGCCGTTGATGACGAATAAAGATAGAGCAACTTGCAGGTGTTGACAATGCACATGAGGTTTTCCTGCTTGCAATCGCCTATGCCAATTGACCCAGATGATGGGAAATCGAGATGATGGGTATCGTCGGTTTCTGAAGCGCTATGTGAGGAGATGGTGTACTCGAAAAGCAATTGGGAAAGCGTCTCCATCTCTGGAAACTTGGCGTCGTTATGACAATGAACAAAAAGCTTCCAGTGGGCACGAGGCTTCGGTAACAAGCTTTCAAATCTTGAAGGCGTGAGTTCGTCGTATACCACGGTGGACCTTGAAGGCTCGCAATAGTTGGGAGATTCCTGAGTTAGTTTGGGTGCTTCATCGACAGCTGCTGGATACTCATCCAGGCGCAAGACCTGAAGCATAACTTCATGGTCCCATGTGTTACCCAGCCAAACGTTCTGGTGCAACTTAGAAGCTGCAGACATGACGGTGGTTTCTAGCTTCTCCTTGATTTGCAAGTTTGAATCCCAGAGTGGGTAGTAATGAAGCTTCAGATGGTTGAAACAATGGTGGAAGAGCAGGGTACGTTTGCTGTATCCAAAAATGTCCTTAGCTTTTGCGGAAGCACGGGGCGTGAAGATACGGAACCCTTCGTCGTGTTTGATGGAGTCCTGCGGTTTGAGCAAGAAAACGTTATACTTTCTGGGATTCGTTCGTTCATCCACAATTTGAGCTAGACGAAGAAGCCTGGCAACACTAGCGGCCCTAGACTTCCCATCAGCTTGTGCCTTGGGAGAACCGTATACCACAAAGTCGGCACACCGAGCCAGCTTGGCGACCTGAATGTGGAAGTTACGGAGCGAGATGCCTCTGTCGGGATCAAGATTGAGAAACTCGGGCATGAATCCGGTCACGAAGCAGTCGCTGGTGATGGCAGCCACAAGAGACTCCATCTTCTCCACGGGAACATCGTCAAAAAGCGTCATTATGAAGGAAAGGATCATTTTCTCCACCTCCCGCCTGGAGAACTCAATCTTTTTGAGAACCTCGTCAAGGCCTATGGAATTGTGGAGAATCTCGTCCTCGGGGTAGCTGTCCTTGTCTGCCTCTATCGTGATCAAAAAGCGGGCATCGGCAGGTCTGGCAAAGTGGGTATTGAAGTCCACGCTGGACTCATCAGACTCACTATGCGCCATCTGCTGAAACACAAAGAACAGCCGCTGGGTGAAGTTCTCGGGGTGGAGTCCATGGAGCCACGGAAACATCTGGTTGGTCGGCGGTAGTGGTTTGTTGAAGTACCACTGGAGCACCGTAGAAAGCCTCTGCGGCGTGATTGTCCGTACATCTACCTTGTCGCTGTCTGGAGCCACCGGTAGGTGTGAGTAGAAGGAGGAGGCTGGGTCTAGTGGAGAGATAGTCTCCAGAAGCGGGTAATCCTCGTCGACGTTGAGTTTCTTCGTCTTGGAGCTGATGCCATAGCACACCTCGCAGTCTGCGGATTCCTCGCCAATAGGGTTGTCTCCAGCGGTGTTGAGGGTGTGGAAACGAGCCCTGAACCGGTCTCTTTCGTGGACCAGGTCGTTCAGGGCCAGTGACAGTCTTTTGCTCTTTACTCCCGAGAGCCGAGGAATCTCGTCCAAGTCGGTGGCGAAAACACCGGGGTCCAGCTTGAGGCTGCTCAGGAGCTTCTCGTCCAAAGACGGACTGAGAAACGCTTCGTTATCGTCCTTGATGTCCTCGAGTCCGGGCAATCTGCTGAAGGAAACCACCCGAGGAACCAGATCGTGTGTACTGGCTATGGGAGGGCTTCGAGGAGCCGGCAGGACCAGCATGGAGTGTTCTGTAGCGGTCATGGCCACAGAGCGATTGGAGTGGAAATTTGTGGTGATTGTGGAAACGGTGGGGCAAGTTGAGAAAACCACTGATCCTGGGTTATAAGCGTTTGGGGGTTCGAAAAAAGCAAGATTTTTCACAAAAACAGCCAGTTGAATGGCGGGCCACAGGGTGGCAGAGACTGGGGTAGGAAAAGACGGTAGCGATACTGACTTGATACGGAGTGCGAATCAGGCGAGGAGATAGGGTTTGGGGGGTGGAGGAGAAAACGCCCCAGCAGAGGATTTTTTAGGATTTTGAGTTTTTTGATGAAAAATGGAAGGTGTTCAAAAAACGCTGATTTGCTGAAATTGTGGAATTTCCCTGGCGCCGCCGGAATCGTATCTCCTACGTCTTTTAGATGACTCGGGGCCGCCCGGACCAGATAAGGCTTGTCCACAGGCGCCACGCAGGGACCTGGCTGTTTTAAAGCCACAAGGAAAGAAACTTTTTTTCAGAGAGCTGGATTTTGGAAAAATTGGGGGAATTGGGTAAATCGGTTTGAAAGCACGGAATTCTCGTATTTTTGCGCCAGCCGTGCTCTTCGCTGCACCGACGTTTCGCAGCCACGCCAAAGTCCGAGAAATTCCGTCTTCTGACTGGGCGACCCTGCAAAAACTTCACCCTTTTGTTTTTTTATCTTTATCAAAGGAGATTTTGACTTTCGCTAAACCAACGGAATCGCTTCTTCTCGGCGTTTGCACCATTGTCGCCAGGACGGGTGCCCAAAGAGGAAACTCGCCTAGGCTCGCTGATAGGCTCGCTGATAGGCTCCTTGCACAATGGCAGGGTATGGTGGGGCAGTTTGGGGTAACTATGTGAAAAATGTCGGAGGGGTGGTTTTGGAGATTTAGGCTGGAGGATCACAATGGTACTTTTGGTTTTGAAGGGGTGCCAAGGTTTGGGTCCGGTTGGGCTGGTCCGGGTGGGTACTAGGGAACTAGGGAACTAGAAGATATTGTCTGGAATCTAGAGAGCTCTGAAACGTAGGAAGCTCTAAAATCTGGAAATCTCTGATATCAATGCATTGTGGTATTTATGACATTGGCAACAACGCAAAGTATGATTGTAAGTCCAGTTGTATGGTCTCCCTTCTGATGGTCTCTCTTCTGATGGTATTGTATCCTACTAAGGCTGACCTACCCGATTACAAGATGTGAAGTAATCGCAGCTCCATGTATACTAGCAAGACTTTGGTGGCTTAGGCAATTACTATCTCGACTAATAGCCAACTGTGACATCTAGGGCTATCTCTCTTTCAACTGAACGCCGTTTGTTCGAAGGCCACAAGTTAGTTAACCCCTGTAAGAATTGTGCAGCATTCGAAAGCATGATAAATAGCAAGAGCTGAACTGTATGAAAATAGTGAAATGGTCATGATGCCTATTCTGTATAAACCCTATAGTAGAGCGGCTTCGTTATGGTAGATGCTTATTGCAACTCACTTTCCA